ATCGAACACATTTGTGGAGTCGTTTAAGTATATTGAATTTTAAATATATTGGATTTTAAACTGTCATACAATTTTTTCATCGATAGTCTGTAATTGAAACCATAACTCTTATTTATTCAAATTGTATTAATATGTAAAGACCAAGTGTAACCTATATAATCATTAAATCTTATCTTATAAAACCAGTGGAACTTCAAAATCGTTAAAATTCATGGTTCCCGCCACATTGCGTGGGTACACAACTAGTATATATATAAAGAGAGAGAGGATCAAACGAGAATGTTAACTATTTAAAAGAATATGGAAATGGCCAAATCACATCTAAAATCACATCTAGTTTTACATTAACGGTCGAAAAAAGGTGTGTGGGCAACTTTTGCTGGGACTTCAGTTCACGAGGCAAAGTCGTTTGAATCACATGTGATTTTGTACATGATATTAGTGTAAAATCACATGTGATTCGACAGTTTTCTTATTCTCTTAAATATGCAGTGTTCTCGTTTAAACTAAACACTCTCTCTCTCTCTCTCTCTTCTCTCTCTCTCTCTCTATATATATATATATACACACACATATATAGGTAGGAAAGTAAACTCATTTTTCATTGTGAACATGAGGACCAATGCTGGCCTTTCATCTTATTTCATCCAACAACTCATATTAACTAGTGTTTTTAATTAAATTTATTAATTAAGGTGATTAGGGATAAAAAAAAGTTAATGCAATCCACGCCTATCTTATTTGACTTTTTATTTTCTTTTTTAATTAAAAAAATTTACCCCCTTAAAGTCTAAAATAAATTATCTTAAAAATTATTAATATTTTAATCAAACAAATTACATTAAAAAACGAGAATTTCATGTTCTTCAATATGGCATCCATCTCGATGTAGTTTATTTTAACCGTTTTTTTACATGAGATGGTGCATATGTGTTATATTCATTATTAATATTTATATACATTCAAATGTGTACAACAGCTCGACACCATACGTCGGTAACTCAACATCACATTCTTCAACACTTTCTTCAACGTCGTAAGGCATTGCGTTCTTCATCACGATACCTCAACACCCATCGAAATAGATCAAGAATATATCGAGACCAAGTAAAACCTATCGAGACCAATCAAAAACCCATCGAGGCCGATCGAGAAAGGTCGAGAATCCATTAATTGACTTGGTATGTGTTTATATGTGTTAAACTATAACCTACCACCTTTATTTTCCATCAAGAATCTATCAATTGATTTATTATTTGTTTGTATGTGTAAAACCATAGGCTACCACTTACAGCTTTGATCGAGATGGATCGAGAATCCATTGAGACCAATCATGAACACATCAAGATCGATCTACAACCCATTGGGACCGATAGACACCAATTGAAACCAATCAAGACTAATCAAGAACACATTCATTGACTTGGTATGTAGTTGTGTGTTAAAATCATAATATAACACCTTCATTTTCATCGAGATCGATTGAGAACCTATTGATTATTTTATTATGTGTTTATTTGTGTAAACCATAACCTACCACTTTTAACTTTTATGAGATGGATCAGGAAATCTATCGAGACGAGTCAATCAGGAACCCAAAAAAGAAAAAAAAAAGAAAAATTAAAGTATGTAGAGTTAAAACTGTAGTATATTCATGATGAATATTATGATGAAAATTAATGTTTATGATAAATATCATACTGATGTAAATACTAGAAAGTTGTTATATACATGTCATCATACATAAACATTCATGATGAATAGTATGTATATTCATGATGAAGGTTACAGTGAAAATGTATATTCATGACGAATATCATAATGATGTATGAATATTGAAAAGTTGTTATATACACGTGCACATATATAAATATTCATGATGAATAGTATGTATCATATCGATATATGAATAGTAAAGAGTTATTGTATACACGTCAACATATATATATATATATATATACATGCTGAATGGTATAAAGAAAACGTATATTCATGATGAATGTTATATTGAAGATGTGTATTCACGATGAATGTCATAGTGATGTATGAATACTGAAGATTTATTAAATACACATGAAAATACATAACTATTCATGATGAATGTTATGATAAGTATGATATTCATGATGAATATCATACTAATTTATGAATATTAAATAGTTGTTGTAAATATATGAATGTACATAAATATTAATAATGAATATTACACGGATATACTATTTGACAAAAAAAACCTTAAAAATATAAATAGATAAAAAGTATATCGAGATGGATGTCAAATCGAAGAGAATGAAATGCTCAATTTTTTGATGTAATTTGTTTGATTAAAATATTAATTATTTTTAAGATAATTTAGTTTAAAAATTAAGGGGGTAAAAGTCTTTTAATTAAAAAAGAAAATAAAAAGTAAAACATGGTAAGCGTAAACCCTAATTTTCATTTTTACCGCTAATCACTTCATAATTAATATTTTTATGTTTTAATCAATGATTAGTTTTCTAAATTTTGATCAATGGTCATACAAACCATAAAAATCAATCAATTGAGATATTTATTATGATTTGAATTTTTATGAAAGATGATTGGAGTTCATTAATTATGATCAACAATTTATATTAGTAAATAACCGATAAATTTATGAAACCATATATTCGTTAGACTAGATAGGCAGTTGAGATTTGCTTGTAAGATTCAAATACAAACCATATGATTCTTACAAACCCTACAAACATGATCTCAACCATTGATTTTGTTTATTTTGAAATTTAAAGGCAGTTATAGAATGCAATTGAGAGTAAATTTAAGAACCGATTTAATCCACGCCGTTGATTATCAACATGTATGGTTGAGATTAGTTTGTAAAATTTGTATGAATTGCATGGTTTGTAAAATAAATCTCCCTTATATACATACATATATATATATGGGGTGATCATTTAAGAACCTTGAAAACTGGTACATTATGTGCAAATTCATATGTTTTTTTTCATCTAAAGTTATGATTTAGAACATTGATGAGCATATAATTGTTTCATAATGTGATTGTTTCACATTTTGAACCTTTTGGGTCTGTTCGTGAAACAAAACTTATATGTAAAAAAGTTACATATTATAAACCGAATACATATGAAACAAACACATCGTGAAACAAATATATGTTAAAAACTAAATTAAATACTAGTCTTATATGGAAAAAGATCATGTAAAACAATATCTTGAGATTATATGTATGTATGTATGTATGTATGTATGTATGTATGTATGTATATATGTATGTATGTACGTACGTATGTACGTATGTGTGTGTATGTATGTATGTATGTATGTGTGTGTGTATGTATGTATGTATGTATGTGTGTGTGTATATGTATGTATGTATGTAATGAAATAACATGTGTGAAAATAAAGTGTTTATACCATGTTATTTCATATGAGAAACATTCAGGACTGCTTTATGCATGGAAAAAAAAACAATCCTACATGTTTCACATATGAAAACATTGTGTAAACATCGAAATTTCACACATGTTTTCATATGCAATAACACATTAAAATCTGATTCATTAGGAAACCGTGAATGGGTTGACAAGCGTCGTAACCCTTGGACTAAAAGATTATAAAACGTAAGAACTTGAAATTATTGAGAAAACTTAAAAGGAGAACTTTTATAAATAAAACTCTAAATTGAATTTAACATCAAATTAAGGGTTTAAGTAAGCTCTAGAAAAGAGTTATAAACAAACTAGGAAACAGTAAAATAATTAAGATAAAGATAAACTAATTAAGATAATAACTAAAGGAATTAGGAACTCAATGAGCTCAGGGACGTGCGAGACGAGCCATGCGGCTTAAGTCACGGGGTTGGTTGCAGGACCCTTTGTTTCGTCGTCCAGTGAGCTGCACAACCTTTTTGGCGAGTTGAGTCGCGTGGGAGATCACGGGTAGGGGTGAGCATAGGCGGGTACCCGCCCTATTTGATAGGAACCGGAACTGGTGATTCTTGATATATTGGAACCAGAACCGGTTAGAACGGTTTTTGAATTTTTGGAACCGGAACCGCCGGGGACTGGTTCCGGGTACCCGCTTCCTAAAATATTAAAATTTTGTTATTTATAAATAAAAAATAAAACATTGCCAAAACACTAAATAAATAARCAAGAATACAAATTATACAGAATAATGATTACAAATATTGTTTAACGATTACAAACCATAATAAATTAATAGTAAATGTTGAAAGTTTAACGATTACATACTATAATTGTAAAAGTTCAAAGTTTAACGATTACATACTACAAATCCAATTAAACACACATTTTGAAAAAATACGAATCATTTTATCTCAAATTCTGAATCTAGAGTTCTAAGTTTTTTTACCTAATTTAAATTTAGTATTAAAAAAATTAATTTTTTTTTAATTGAAAAATACCGGGTACCTGCCGGTTCCGGGTACCCGGTCCCGGCAGGTAACAGTTCCGAAAAATTGAGAACCCGAACCGGAACCATTATCAATCAGTTCCGTATTTTAGAAACCGAAACCATTCATATGGGTTCCAGTTCCGGAACCGACAGTTTCAAGACAGTTTTGGTTTCACAAATGGGTATCCGGTTCCGCTGCTCACCCCGAATCATGGGACCTTTTGTTTAAGCTTTTTTTGCTAAGGATTTGTCGTGGCCATTTATTCTTCTATCTGGGTTGCTAGACGCTCTACGTCAAAGCCGTTTTATAAGTTTGTATAAATTATTTTGTTTCATAAACTAGTTTGGTAAAATAATATTAAATAATGGAAAGAAAAATAAGAACTAAAAATTAAAAGTATAACAAAAATCAATGAAATATAAAAAAATAAAAAAGCAAAATTTAGGGGATAAAAAAGAAGAAATCCGTATAAGCAATGTGTTAATGGAGCGACTGAAATTGCTTCATGTTTCCACTTATTGGTCTCTTTTCGGTTTCACTTTCATCAATCTGCCTTTCCCCTTCAAGAGCTTCAAACATGGCACCTGGCAAATGGGAATTCTCTTTCTCTACTTGATCATTGGATTTTGATTTCAAGCTCCTCTCTCTCTCTCTCTCTTAAATTGGTACTATTTCTTCTTCTACTCTCTCTCTCACTACCCCCTTGTTATTATCTCTGAATATTCATTCCTTTGGCTTTTTACATCATCTTCGTTTTCGTCTGTTTAATTTGTTAATCTCTGTGTTCATCTAAATAGAATTAAGTTTCAGCTATCTATGTTAGCAATTTGACATGGGTTTTGCTTAAAATGATATGGGATTTTGTTAATTTTCATGGGTTTACAAATAACAAAAATTCCTTTCAAACTGTGTGTTAATTCGCGATGTAGATTAATGGTGAATTTCAAAGTAGGCATATTATAAAGGTTTCTATGCACTCAAATTCTGGATTTCCGAAGGATTTCAACTCACCCTTTTCATGATTTTGTGCTTTGAAGTAATAAGTTGTTCTGAATTGAGCTACTACTGTTTAGAATCCTTTTTGATAATCTAATGATCTTGATACAGTTTTGAGCCTGCAGCAAATAACTCAAATACTATCTGGGTTATAGTTTTGGCAATGAATTCTGTTTATTACAAAGAACAGGATGATGGGAGTAGTTCGAATCCTATGGGTTCAGTTCCATGGTGGAGTGGATTTGTGACTCGATCATCTCTTGAAGAATCCATCCCATTGAAGCCCTCATCAATGGAAAACCAGACTACTTATGGAAGACAACCATCAGATCATGATGCAGATCAAGTGTTCGAGAAAAGGGATATAACACAATTCAATATGTTTACTGGTAACCTTTTTCTTTTCTGTGTTCCCCAATCTTCCCCACAGTTGGTTCTTATAAGCTTCTCGTATTTGAAAAACAAATCGGTTTCAACCCAGATGTAAAATGTACGTGGACAGTTCTACGAGAACTATACATAATCTCATATCACATTTGCATATAGGGATTTTATATTCAGGAATTATGTCATGAAACGTCATGGGAAAACCTGATCAATCTGTTTCTGATTCAGGTGACTGCAAGAATCCATCGAACTGGCAAAAAGGTCATGTTGACCTAGGATTTGGTCAGCCGGCCGTGGTAGGAATTTCTAGTCATTAAACGCTGTTTTTGGATAAATTTGATATTCATCTTTATCGAATGTTGATATATCATCTCTCTTTTGATCGACTACGATAGATATGTGGTGAGTACCCTTACGGGGATCGATGTTATGGAGTGTTCTCAACTTACGGACCTCAGATAAAGGTGCGTCCTGCCGTCCTCTCATAAATCCTGTCGGTTTTTGAACTGAGTTTCCTAACAGGGTTATTTTGGGAAATCTTACGAATAAGATGCCCGTTTCATATAATTCCTTGACATTTCAGTGCTATGTAATCTTTTGGAAGCTAAGAGAACAAATAGCTTTTATGTTTTATTCTATTTAGGTGAATGTGTTTAGATGGGAATCTAATTCATGAGATTATATGAGGTATTGACATAACCTTCTAACTGTTTGATAATGATTCAGGGTCGGATGCTGTTACCTTTAAACTTGAGCAATGATGATGAACCGATATTTGTGAATGCAAAGCAATATCATGGAATAATAAGACGTAGAAGATCTCGTGCAAAGGCAGAGATGGCAAAGAAAGTTCTGAAAAATCGTAAGGTATGTCTATGTCATAAAATCTTCTAATGACCATGCATTGCATTATAGACAGATAGGGGGAGAATAGCAATCATTGGTGGACCTTCCCTTGAACTAGTCATGGAGCTCTCAATGGAGTGGTTTAGGTTCTGGAATTCCATCTCTAGTTGGGGGTTTCGGTTCGAAGGTTCTAAAATGTGGTGCGGGTTCATCTCTCTCGACCAGTTCGGAGATGGCTTGACAGCAAGCGTAGTGGCAGGCAGGCAGGCGATAGGATGTAAATCATAATAGCATTAGAGATTGCTAAACTATAATAAAAGTTTTAAGTTGGTCGTTGAAGGCCAATAAGCCTTGCAATCAGGTTTATTTATATCAAATCCAGCCAAAATATTAGATCAAATTCGGCCAAAAGGAGTTTAATAGAATATATTCAAAGAGTTAATTCAATGAATTCCTAATGTTATCGTCCCATATTTTATCGTCCTTATTCTTGGAAGCTAAAAAGTTTTAGACTTTTTGTTGGTTTTTATACGTAGCCATATTTGCACCTTTCACGTCATCTCCATGCAATGCGTCGACCAAGAGGGAATGGGGGCCGTTTCCTAAACACCAAAAAGAAGGATGACTGCAAAGATGAAATTATGGATTTGAAAAGGGGCGAGAATGTTTCTGGATCTCCAAATTGTACTGTTCTGCTGTTGGATGATAGCAACTTGACCTCTCCTTGCGAACCAAATGGTAATAGGTCACATGTTTCCCGGTCAGAGGTGACTAGTGCATTCTCCATTGGAGACCTCAAACACTTCCAAATCGGGAATCTTTCTGTTGTCTCTCTTTCAGACATGATGATTTCTGGCAACACCAAACATGGTTTTTCCATGCACGGCAAACGGGTTTCAATGGCAAGCGGTGGTAGTCACTATAACGCCAAATGGGGTTCCAATGTGTTGTATAATTGACGTGTTGGACCCCACCTTCCTCCAGCCAAATGAAGTGATCATTCGGTTGTTTGTGGCAATTCATCCTTGGCTTATTGTGTTATGGTTGTCTCTAATCTTCTCCCCCTACAAATGGTTGGGAGTTGTTATGGGACGTTAATAGCCTTAATGCATGTGAAAAAATGAACAAACATTTCTGAACATGTTTGCTTCATCTTTACTGATAAATTGTTATTGAAGTAAACCTTCATATACGATGTTTTTTGGATCTTGTTGAAATTACGGGTTAATAATGTATTTTATATATGTTGTATGGATGTTGACTTCAAACTTTTGGATAATGTAATATATTTTAACTTGTGGTTGTCTCATAAGCTCCTCAACTTTGTATGAAGTTACTACACACTTGAATTTTCAAATATTTATGCATCATGTTAATTCAAAATAATGACAATGACTATGTTTTGATAAGGTAGTTGTTAGCTAATAAACTAGTTATTAATTGACTAAAAGGGTAATACATCTTGATTTTAATATTTTATTTTTTTATTCATCTCAGTCAATGTTATAATATGGTCTTATGTGATTTTGAAAAAGCAATGATGTTTTTATTTTTGAATAAAATATAAATTTTAAGAGATCATAAAAATTTGACAAAAATATATCGATATTAGTATCAAATTAACTATTTAAATTCCTATTTTTTGTGTAATTTGTTAATGCAATTTTTTTATTATAATTTTAATTTAGGTTCAATAACGAAGTAATTTATTTATGGTTTAATAATATAATTTTTTTATAAAGATAATAACTAATTGTTTTGTTAGAACTCGATAATTATACTAATTATATTTTAGATTTTTTATATTTTAAAATGAGATGTTTATCATCTATTTTTGATTATATTTATTTGCAGTTAGTTACACGAATTCAAACATGAGCTTTAATAAATTGTATTTATGCATAATTTATTTGTAATCTTGAATTTTAAGTAATATGCATCAATATACTGTACTTCATGCATAAAAAAATGTTTTTAAGAGTTTTTGTCAAATTCTTTATAATTTTTAACTGAAAAACTAATTGTTGGCTGAGAACTTGGTTGTTACTTGATAAATTGTTCGATTTTGATGAAAACTAGTTGTCTTTGGTAAAAATTAGATGATAATTTAGAATGACTTGAAGAAAGATTTATAAAACGTTTATAAAAAAATAAGTTAGATGATTAGAGGCATAATTAGAAGGGGGAAGGCGAAAAATAAATTAAATAGTTCATTTGAAATACCCTTTCAAGAAACCAACTTATAACTTATCGAACATGATTTTTTCAATAAATTCAAAACAATATAAATTAATTTATGGTTGTCAAATAAGATCATAACATAAACCTATCCAACATTGATTTCATACCTTATAGTTAAATTGATTATAAAAAGGGAACTTAGAAATCATGTTAAAGTTAATCATGAATTAATAATAAAAATTGGCTTAAAAAGTACATCATAGAAACCTAAAATCTTGAAATACAACTTGATAATGCTACTTATAGAACCCAACAAAGACAAGTTTATGGTCTTAACCCCTCAAACCACAAATCAAAACTGTAATGATGGTTTAGAAGATTTTTAAACCGAGTGGTTTGACAGCAAGTGACCAAATCAGACCATAAAAAGACGGATCGATGTTTAGGCGGTTTGGACAAACATTGAGCAATACTAAGGATGATTTTGAATTTTGAATTTGATTTTTGACGGGTTACAGAATTTCAGATAACACGGTCAATTGAGAAATGAAAACTAAAAACATAATATGTTTGATGCACTTTTTTAATTAGGCCATAAAAATAAACACTATAACATGAAAAATAAATATAATTATTACATGTGTATTTTCGGTGGTTGTTTCGGTCCAAACCGTTGACAAGAATGTTCAAATCTCAGACCCGATCGAATCGAACGGTTTGGCTATTTTTCAAATCGGATCGAACCGTCAAACTATTCAAACTGCAAAAAGGGTATAGTTTAACTTGTTCGATTTAAAATGATTTTTCTAAGACCTTTAAAGACAAGTTATGCATTTGCTTTGAATTTTATTGTTAAATAATTATTGAATCCAAGAAAAGGGAAAGGGCAATAACAAGGGTTTCGATTCTTTACCACCATTTACATATTGGTTTCACCACCACCGTCTTCTTCACTCTCTCGCCCAACCCTCAAGATTCTTGCAGATTTTCTTTTTAGATCGTATCATTTACCAATCCAATATCCAAGATAAAGCTTTTCCTATCTAATTATTGGCCAAAAACAATATGAGCTTGGGTCCAGCTGTCTCGAGCGCTAATGGCAACGTCGATGAATATATTTCTCAGCTCATGCAATGCAAACCCTTATCGGAACAAGAGGTTTTGCTTCCTAAATCTTTAATTCATTCTTACTTATTCTTGGATTGATTGATGATTTGTTGCTTTAGGTTAAATTTGTGTCTGATCTGATAATTTGAGTTCAGTTATGGTGCTTATCGTTTTCTTTCGTACAGATCTGCTTACTGGCTCAGATCTGGTGTAGTTTAACTTTGAAACTTATGTTTTCAGTTTGAATTTAGGAGTTTTTCGAATGTCTTTTTGTAACTTAGTTTGAAAGTATGTCTGTATCTTTCGGTAATTGGTATCTAATTAGATTTAAGAATTTATGGCTCTAAATTGTTATATGAAAACAGCAGCAAAGATTACATAATAATTGGAGTTAGATTGTTAACTGGCTCTTAAGTTCTAAACTTAATAGTTGGTGACTTCTGAGCTGAATTTTTGTGTGTTTAATGGATCTTTAGCAAATAGTAAAGTTATGATTTCATTTTTTGAAATTATAAGGAAGAATGGGGAACATAACCCCCAAAGATTTAAGCCTAAAGCTTGTATATTACACTTGTTAATACAGATTAAACCTTTTGTGTTGACTATTTGTGTCTGAAAACAAAAGGGGCGAGGGGGAGGGAGGGTCTTGTAACATCTGGCCAACCCTATCAGCTATTGTCCACCTTATCCACACTTGGACTCATTGTTTTAGAACGCGCTCGATAGAGGTGATAGAGGAGGTATCGAGTCTCTTACCGGACAACTTTAGACCTTTGTTTCCCTCTCCAGCTGATGTGGGATCTCACAATCCAGCATAGAACAATGATATGCTTCTGATGAACTCTATTGACTATTGCTATACCACTGTAAGATGAATGCAACACATGATCCAGTATTTAAATGGTGTTTAACTGTTTATTGGATGCATCATATTAGTTTTGTCTGTAATGCTTTTTCAGTTTCATTTCAGTAACAAAAATTCATAATATTATGCTTTGATGCGATGTAGGTTAGGGTGTTATGTGAGAAAGCTAAGGAGATCTTGATGGTGGAAAGTAATGTACAGGTATACTTGTTTTCTATTCTGCTACGCGTATGAATTTATGTATTAAATTGGCCTTATGTTCTGATTAAAAGATTCATAATCAGAAATTATGCTTCTAACTGCACATAAGTGTCATTGTTGTCGTAAAGTGATGTACCTGAGTTGAATTAAACTCATCGGATTTCTGCATTTCTGTTCCAGCCTGTAAAAAGCCCGGTGACCATTTGTGGTGATATTCATGGGCAATTCCATGATCTTGCAGAGCTCTTTCGAATCGGAGGGAAGGTGTGTTTTCTTATTTCGTTAATTTGTTTTTCTCATCTTTTTGCATTTTGAACTGTGTGCTAAGTATGTTGCTCTTTTGATACTATTCTTTATTTTCCGTCATAGTGTCCGGACACGAATTATTTATTCATGGGAGATTATGTTGATCGTGGTTATTACTCGGTGGAAACTGTAACAGTAAGTCTTGGCTGCCATGCTTTCTTGTTGATTATTCTTTTATCTTTTACTGATATCAACAACTTGAGGTCCAAATTTACCACTATTCTTTTCATGCTAATCTTTTTACCCTTTCAGTTATTGGTGGCCCTCAAAGTGCGCTATCCGCAACGCCTCACAATTTTAAGAGGAAACCATGAAAGTCGTCAGGTACAATTTTCGACTATATCCCAACTCATTTAACAAGTGGGCTGTGGCTCTTTTTTTAGTTATAGTGCTCGTAGGAGCAGAATTATTGTTACACTTCATTAGTGTTCTAAAAATTGCATACAAGTTTTCAAGAGTGACAATAACCCTCTCCGTTGTTCCTTCTGTTACATACAAATTTTGTACTCACTATCTTATTTATTCTTTATCTTTCCGTGTTATTTGTCACAAAAATTGTCTGAATGTTTGTAGAATGTTTATGATATCCATTTAATGTGGACAAAGTAATCTTTTGGTGTTACAAATGACCAAAGCTGAAATGTTTGTGTTTGTGCAGATTACTCAAGTCTATGGGTTTTATGATGAATGCCTACGAAAGTGAGTACTCCCATTCTTTGGTTACCTATTCTCTGTTAATGGTTACATGGGTGGTGCCTTTAATTGGCTAATATGTTTACGTGTATCTTAGATTTGATATGGTTGTTGGAATTTGATTCACTGATATATCACACATCAATATAATGCATTATATAACAAATCTCGTGTTCATCTCCGTGTTCTATAATTATAGCTTCTTGACCTTTTGCAGATATGGTAATGCTAGTGTGTGGAAGACCTTTACAGATTTGTTCGACTATTTTCCGCTGACTGCATTGGTTGGTATCACTTGCCCAATTCTTTTAAGCCAGTTTTCGTAAATTCTGCTATTAGAATTTGTAATTCATACCAAAGGGCCTTTGGCCTAGCGGTATGTGAGTCTTTGGCCTCCTAGGAGGTCAGAGGTTCAAACCTCATCAAAGGTGAGGAGGGTGTGTGAGTTTATTTGTTGCATTTGCCGTATATAAATATTATATACTTCAAAAAAAATTGTAATTCATATGGAAGGATAAAGGTCCACAATGAAAAAGGCACGATTTTAGAAATGTGTAAATATCAAACTTTTTAATCACGTATATCACAATTTTACCCTTAATAATAGATCGACAAATGAATGTTTCCATCTCATAATTAAGGGTATAATTGGAAAGTAGACGCTTACTTTTTAAAGTGGACGACAAACTGAAATAGAAAGGTGCAAACTTTTTTTGGAACGTAAGGAGTATAATATATACACTTTTTGTGGGTTGTTATTTTCGGTTGCTTTTTGTAATTTGCTGATACCGATTTCCCACCTCTATTTCTAGGTCGAGTCCGAAATCTTTTGCCTTCACGGTGGATTATCTCCTTCAATTGAGACCCTTGATAATATAAGAAATTTCGATCGTGTTCAAGAAGTTCCCCACGAGGGACCAATGTGTGATCTTCTATGGTCAGACCCAGATGATCGATGTGGTTGGGGTATCTCACCCCGGGGTGCTGGATACACATTTGGCCAAGTATATCTTGACGCCTTTGATTTCATTCGATTTATATATACGGTTACTGAACTTTGCTTCGTATTTTATCAGGATATATCTGAGCAATTTAATCATACCAACAGCTTAAAGCTGATTGCAAGAGCACACCAGCTGGTGATGGAGGGATTCAACTGGGGTCATGTAATAACTTCACAATCCTTACATATGCACGTAATTTATCGCACATTGGTTGGTATATAAATCAGTCTGTAATTGGTATAACAGGAACAAAAGGTTGTGACGATCTTTAGTGCACCTAATTATTGTTACCGATGTGGGAATATGGCTTCGATTCTTGAGGTGGACGACTGCAAGGGTCACACCTTTATTCAGGTCTCAAATCTTTCTGATCTCTTTTGCATACGAAAACCATTGTGGTGGATGATTTGAAAGGTGACTAAAGAGAATATGTTGTATTGCAGTTTGAACCAGCTCCGAGGAGGGGGGAGCCAGATGTAACCCGTAGGACACCAGATTACTTTCTATGAGGTAGCGGTTGCAGTCTGTTTTGGGTTGGGCGTGAGCCGCGTGCTGCTTCATGCAATTGCAATGTAAAACGGGCAGGTGATGGTTCGTTTAACGTAGCCGAAGAGGCTTGGAAGAAAAGGATTTGGTGAACAAGTTAAGTGTAGGAGTCGTGATTTATTTTTGGCTGTAGAAGCATAAAGTTGATGGGGGATGGGAGATAATATAGAAGAAAGACGATTTAACATCATATGATCATGGGTTTTGATTTCGTCTTTTTGTTGTTAATTTTGTCCATCCATGTTATATTTTTTAACTTGATTCTTTAATTGTAGTTAAAAAAAAATACTTGCTATCTTGTATTTGTTGGTGATTCTTATTGTTGAATTATACCATATTGTGTTCATCTTTCTATATGCTAAATCATATGTGATTTTGCACTGAATTCACATGTGGTTACGTGCGGACTGTGACTTCAGGTCACAGTGTGAATCACATGTGATTTTTCTCATGTTCTTGTTTGAACCCGATCCTATATTGTAACACTTAATTCTTCTAATGATTCATTTTCCAAGGCTTGATTTAGGGTTTTAATTTTCATTATTAATCTCAGCTTGATTTATAGTTTTGTTAGAAATTTGGTTTTGTATCATATATTTTTTATCGAATTTGCACAAATTGGTTGTTAGTGTTCTTGATATTCATAGTAATTGTTCATGAAGTTCTTGAACAATAAAATATGTTTTAGAGTAAATTATGTTTTTCGTTCTTGTGGTTTGTTAAAAATTTCATCCTTGCGGTTTTGAAATTTTGTTTTTCATACTTATGGCTTGCAATTCATTTCTATTTTCGTTCATGATGCCAAAACATTACTTTTAAGTATGAATGACTAAAATAGAAATGAACTTTAAACCATATGAAAGAAAAGGGCAATAAAATTTTTAAATCAAAACAGTAGTGAATTATAAACCGTAGGGATAAAAATTTTAATTTCAAAACCATAAGAACAAAATCGATATTATCAACAAACCATCGGGACTAAAAACATAATTTATTGTATGTTTATAAAAAAAAACAATGAAAAATGACCAAGATGTCCCAATGTAAGGGATACTTAATGACAGAGAACATAACTTGTTATTTTTTAGCTATGATTTATAAGTTTTTGTTATTTTATTAATATTTAAAAAATATTTTACATATATAGAGAGAGAGAGAGAGTTGCGTTATTATACAACCCTTCACATTTGTACAAACAATACAACTCAATCTCAACCGTCCATTTAATTTGATGAATATATGATTTCATAGAAGTTTTGGTCGTTTCCTAATATAAAGTATTCATCATAGTTAATGAACCTTATTTATCTTCTATAAATATTCAAATCATAATAAATGAATCCCCATCAAATCTATAAATATCTCAATTAATTGGGTTGTATTGGTTGTACAAATAAACGTGGTTGCATTTGAAATATACCCTATATATATACATACACACAAATATTTCTGCTCAAAAGAGAATATCAATTAAAAAAAACAAATAAACACGTCTTAATCATCTATTGATTTTAATCCAACAGTTAACCATTCATTGATTTTAATCCAACAGTTACTAATAATAAATGGGTAGTTTGGACATGCTACAATATGGATTGCTATTTTCGTAGTTTGGAGAAATCGAAACGAATTGGTCTTCTCTGTTGGCAACCAACATTATAACCATTCGGATATAGTTTTTGACACCCAAATTGATGTCGTTTTTTCGGACTTCGTCATGATCAAAATGTCTTTAACATCTCATGTATTTCATGGCTTTCGGAGAACTTCAGTTATAATTGTTATGAATAGATCTTCACCAAGGTCTTGGCTCTTTCTTTAGTTGATTTTATGTATTTCATTAATTTTTGCACCTTACAAAATCTAAATCTCGTATGCCAACCACAAGGGTGGTGTTTGATTGGTTTAAGTTTGACTTCAAAGGTTAAAAGTAACAGGAGGTCTCAGGTTCAAATTCAAGGAGGAATAATTTCTGCACCTTACAAAATCTAAATCTCGTATGCCAACCACAAGGGTAGTGTCTGATTGGTTTGAGCTTGACTTCAAAGGTTAAAAGTACCAGGAGGCCTCAGGTTCAAATTCAAGAAGAAATAAAAATCATCTTGTGGCTACGAAGGTTCAAATGCAGTGACTCTATGTTATCTGCAAAGTAGATGGTCATTCTGGGATTAATCGACTTGCATAGCGGGCTGGATATCCAGGTTAATAAAAAAAAATCTGGTATGCCAAATTTTATTTATAAAATTTATATGCCTTCAAAAAAACAATAAACTGATAGAATTACATTTTTACCCTTCTCGTGATTTCTATTTTTAATTTCATATACATTTGTAATGTCGAGATTCAAGTATTTGGCGACCCAAAGCTCTCTATCTAGTCTTCTCCCCTTTTAATAAGAACTAACAAGAACCTCCCATTGCCACTCTCATCACTCCTCCCAACCCATCCAACAATGGCCATCCCCAAAACCTCTAGGATTAAACCCAAATCCAGATCCCCAATTTTCCTACTCACAGCCGCCATCTCCGCAATCGCCCTTCTCTACTTTCTTTCTTCACTAATCTCCACTACTGGATCAGATGCCCTTCAAACCCCCATTTCAAGTAACCGTAATTCTCTTCGCCGCACTGATTCAGAAAAGTTTTTGTATTGGGGTAACCGAATAGACTGTCCCGGAAAGCACTGCGAGTCATGCGAAGGACTCGGTCATCAGGAGTCCAGCCTCCGCTGTGCTCTTGAAGAAGCAATCTTCTTACGCAGGTAAATTCCCCCATTTCATGAGATGAATAGATTTGCCATCATTTCTTTTTCTTTTGTTGAATATAGTGATCCTGTTTATAAGGTGTATGAATCTCTTCACCTTGTGTTACTCCTTGATTTTCTAGAACCAATGGGCTAATGTCAAAAATTGATGCAAATTATCTAGACATTGCGGAACATTTGATGATTAAATTAGACTGTATCATAACAACTGTAAATGCAGCCTGCTACAGGTGGTTCAGAGATATAACCCTGAACTTGTGAATTGCCCAAGGAATTGCCAATTTCATGAATGGTCGGTGGGGAAGTTTTAATCCATTGATGTGGTTTCTAGGTTCTCAAATAGAGAATTATAGATGGAATAATGGTTTGCTTAAATTTCTAAGAAAATCAACATTTAGCTAGCACAAAGTACTAGATTTTTCCTGAAAATGGATGGGTAATCTTATTCATGTTAAGTGTATAAATCCCTATTCATGCGTGCCTGTATTGGATTAGTAAGGTGATCAAATGTATACACATTTAATACCGGCTAAGAAGTTCGTGGCGATGACATTATTCTTATAACAACAGATGACATGTTAATGGTAAACAGGAATCTTGTTTCTAGCATTAACTTTTCTTTTTTCTCTACAAAAGTGGGGTTTGACAGTACCGCAAGTGCAATTACGACCATCTATCTTGTAACAAGTAGATTGCATGCATGAATTTGTTGTTTCGACTAAAATTCCATCTGTATGATATTGTTAATCTCCTTGCATGAGAGTTACAGTGGGTACCTTTTGCATCAGTGTAATCTTCCTGCTCTTTTTGCTGTTTACTTTTTCTTGCAGAACTTTTGTGATGCCTTCTAGGATGTGCATAAATCCAATCCATAACAACAAAGGGATTCTGCATCATTCCGACAATGTTAGTTCAGAGGAAAGGTTTGTTCTTTTTCACTTCTTATAAGTATGATCAAGGACTCCATTTGCATAACAGTTCAGTTTTTGCCAAGGAAACCTAATTTTACTCAAATATCTTCAAAGCCAATGTGAAATCGTGAATCCCATGGTTCAGATGAATAAGGACATACATTTTGCACATGATTCGAATATATCTTTTTCATTATACCTTATATGGATGGTAGGAACACCTATTTGTTTTAAATAATGTATTAGTTACTGTCATTTCAGGTGGGCTGCTAGCTCTTGTGCAATGGATTCCTTGTATGATTTGGATCTCATATCCAACACGATACCTGTAATCCTGGATAATTCAAAAACTTGGTTTCAAGTTATGTCAACAAGTATGAAGTTGGGATCTAGAGGAGTTGCCTTAGTGGAAGGAGTTAGCCGGGCCGATTTAAAAGAAACAAGTCAATACTCGAAGATTCTACTTATAAATCGAACTGCAAACCATCTATCATGGTAACAAACCTGCATAAACTCTCTACATGTATACCATACATATACACACAAATGCAAGCACATTTAACAATGGAGATGGTTCAAGAGGTTGTAGGTCTAAATAAACAAAAAATTCCTTCAAATAACCTATATTCTTCTTGGTATGCTTTCTTAGAGAAGAGCTAATTCTGATATTCATATAAATGATTATTATGCATCTTGTGATACTACCAACTCTGTTTTAAATTTATAGTTATACTAGAAAGTAAAAAATGATCACTAACATATGTCGTGTTTTTTGTTGGAATGTTGTAGCGTGGGATGAAATCTTTATAAACTTGTTTGGATAATTGCATCTTTCCAGCTGTTTCTTTTCTTCACTTTTATCAAAGATTCAGAGAGAAAAACAATCATAAACTCAAAGATTCGGAAGCAAATCTTGTACTGAATTCTATGTTGAAAAGTTGCTTGGTGGTATATCCAGTTTTTATACACTTCAATTCCAAATTATTCCTCCAAACCTCCAACTTCGCAGTAATACCTGGCCTAGTCTCATCAAAATATATCATCTGTGAAAAGCCTAGACCATGGTATATCCAGATTTTATAAAACGGTGTTCTGCATCTGTTGGAAATTATCATCAACCTGGCATTTATTTGTTAAGACCACATTTTGTTCTCTCTTCCTGGCCTCCACTTTCTCTTAGTTTAGGCGTCATTTGGTCTATTTGAATTTATCATTTTGTGTTCTGTGTAGGTATTAATCACCATAATCATTCAGGTTCATGGAATGTAAGGATCGAAATAATCGCACTGCTGTGTTGTTACCACATTCATATCTTCCTTCAATGGCTGCCAAAAAGCTTAGAGATGCAGCAGAGAAGGTCAGCCTTTAAATGTTACGGTTTCCCTGTTTCTTAATTTTCTTTTCTTCTTTTTTGCAGAAAAATTTGATGCAACTTGCTTCTTGTCCTCTAGTCATGGTCCTAGATGTATGTATATCAATGTAGTAGTTTATATGCAAGCGAAATAATAACGTGATTCAACATAATGTGCTCGCGAAGTTTTATTGGACCAACATATTCATTATCACAAAACGTGATGTGTTGCCAAACATGCTTTATATTTAGCTTACGCAAACACATTCTTTTGTGTTATGTGTATGCTTTTTCGTACTTGTGCTAATTGTTTGTCACAAAAGGGCGTGGATGTTTTGTTGATTTCTGACAAGTGAGAAATGCACCCTTGCAGATTATGGCGCTTCTTGGTGATTATGATGCTATTCATGTTCGACGAGGTGATATTTTAAAAACAAGAAAAGATAGGTTCGGTGTTCCAAGGACCCTGCATCCTCACCTTGACAGAGATACGCAGCCTCGGTTTATTCTTTGCAGAATTGTGAAGTGGGTTCCACCAGGACGGATGCTATTTATTGCTTCAAATGAGAGGACGCCAAATTTCTTTTCACCTCTTTCCGTGAGGTAACTTGTCATTACCCAACCTTGTTTCAAAATCGAAATAGCATGTTAGATTTGCATGTCGCTTATTATTCGGGGACTTGAACAAGTTCACCCTGATTAGGAATTGGACTTTTTTGGATAGAACAATTATATAAAACTTATTAGATCTCATCAATGGGGTTATTTTCCAATTCTATTATATCTGTATCATTACATTCATCAGAGATTTTCATCATCATCATCATCATCACCACCATGACCATAAGTTCATCACAAATTCATGCTGCATTATTCATAATGTAGACAAATGCAAATGCCGATGTAATAGCAAAGTTATCATGTTTGTTGCAGGTACAAACTAGCTTATTCATCAAATTACAGCAGGATCTTGGATCCAGTAGTGGAAAACAATTACCAGTTGTTCATGATAGAAAGGCTTATCTTAGGTGGAGCCAAAACATATATCAAAACATACAAGGAAATCGATACCGATCGCAGCCTCACAGACGATCCCAAGAAGAATACCAAGATATGGCAGGAACCTGTTTACACTAAACAAGGATGCTGATCCCCACATCCCCTTCCTTTTTATTTCTTTATCTTTATCTTGTAATATGTTTGCATGAAGCTTCTTGTATATTGTGTTTCAAGTTTGTAATACAACCAAATATATGATGAATGATTCTTTCAATCCATATCACTTTTCATTCAATGCAAATACCTTCCTTCACTGCTTATTAAGATGGTATTTGAAGCATCACAAGCCATTTACCAAATAAAGACCTACAATCTTATCCCATTAAAAGCATGGCAACAACAGAGGTTCTTACCTAGTAATTGTGGTAGAAGACTTTTACTCGGCAAGTGCTTACCCAATGAAAGCATTTGGTAAACGACAAATCACACCCAAAGTGATGGTGACTGAATGTTGTGTTGCTATAGCTTAATTTACATGTTCTCTTCTCTATATTTTATGCATCTAGTGTGCTATATAGCTGCTGGATCCAATCAATAGTATAAGCCTAAATATCAAACTTGTTTCATAAAATTTGAAGTCATCTTTCTTGCAACAAATCACAAGTAGACAAACTAATGTATTTCAAGTCTAGCTTGTTTCTAGCGTGCAGTTGAACCCTAATCTTGACTATAATTTATCAATTAATCGAAGCAAAAGATAAAAACAACGGGATCTCAAAAGGGGACGATTCTAAAACACCACAAGGACCAACTTCAGTACAATTACAGACAGTAGCATCACCACGATCATAATACGAAAACATTCATAAGAGTCGATCAATCGACTCAACTACATCATCCATCATAAAAGTTGCCAATGTCTACTAACATAAGTTTTTTTTTTCATCAAATGACTGACCGTTCACAAGCCATAAAAGTTCTCATAGATTCAGGGGCTCGGAGAAGCATCCCTATCGGCTTCAGACCTGGAGTAATCACGTGGAATAGGGCTTCGGCTTCGGCTGCGGCTAGGATCCCTTGCTGCCCGTCTCTCCCTTACAGGACTACGATCTCCCCTTGGTGGGACCCGCTCCCTCGCAGGACTTCGACTTGGGCTCCTTGACCCATTGTAGGGTGGAGACCTCTCCATGACAGGACTTCGACTGCGACTCCTGGGAGGCCCATCATAAGGAGGGGAACGCTCTTTCACCGGGGATTGTGAGTATGACCTTTCTCGACTATGCCTTTTCTCTCGAGGTGAAATAGACCTACCCATCATAACCAATACCAAAAAAATTAACATTTTTAAAAACATATGAAAAATAATACTGGATTGAACTATAAAAAAGTCATAATGTGGGGCAGTCAGAAAGAGAGAATTGCAAACATACCTCACGTGCTGCTTTCTCTTTGGAGGAGGAGAGTATTCACGGCTGTGAGATCGTGATCGTGTGTAGCGTGGAGGAGGAGACCGAGAGTAACGTGGCGGTGAGCGGGAGTAGCGAGGCGGTGGTGACCGCCTGCGGTCACTAGGCCTTCCACTACCACCTCTGCAATAATATATATAGATCACATAATTCAACTTTCATGCTATAACTCAATGACAATATATTTGTAAAGTTGGCTTAATTTCAACACCACAAGACACAATCAGATTATACTACAAATGTTTTTATGTCATAATGTCATCAAGTCACACTGAAAGAGAGTTAAGCACACTAAATCAAAATCCACCAACCGTGGTAGCAAAATGAAAGACTCACTTTGAGTAATTAACTTAAAAAACCTACTTACTATAAAGAAAAATAAACAAAACCGGAAAAATTAATAATATAACAAGTCAGTTAACTTACCTCCGTTCTCTTTGTCGCATGTCAGTTGGCTTCTTCCGGTTCTCCTCTGCAAAAACAACCGTCAGCTGTCGGCCCAGAAGAATCTGACCATCCATCTGGTACTTTGCTTCTGCAGCATCAGCAGGATCTAGAAATTGAACAAAGCCAAACCCTCGTGGCTCCCTACACAATTATGCAAAAAGTAGATAACAGAAAAGGGTCAGTGGCAATTCGCATCAACCTCTGTTCTTTTGACCGTCTAAGTTGAAGACAATGTACATTCGGGGCTGTTTGTAAAACTCAAAAGGTGCTGTCAGCAAGAAATTTGACAAGATTCATGATCTCAAGATGATTTACTAACAAGAACTCTGATTATCATTTGACAGAATTCAGAACCAATAAATCAAGTAGTGTTGTGTGTGCACACCACCCTTTTGGTTCTACATGACTTTTTCAAACAGCCCCCGATCAGTAAAATGATACAAACAATAAGCTTCCAGTAATTTGAAAGGTCGTCATCATAAGCAGATAAAGCAAGCACATGGCTGCTGACCTTGCAAATGTGAATATTAATATGACTTGAAATTCTTCAAGACTTGAAATCTTGAGATCTTCCAAATGAAATCAAACTCAATTTCCTTCTCATCTTCATTACCAAATACACCACCTTGAACAAAACTCTTATTACTTGATTGGTGTCAAGAGAACCCTTACAACTGGAATATATCAAGAGAACCCTTAATACTTGACTGATGTCTTCAAAACTTTTACCTCACTTCACTGTTAAATCTCAACAGCTTAAAAACCCAAATTTGAGACATAAGATGGTAGATCAAAATTATTGAAAGACAAAAGAAAACCAGCATGACAACAGATCAAACAAGAAAAGAAAAAGTTGATATTTATCTCAAAAAAAAAATACTTCAACAATCTTTCAGTTAAAAACAAGAAACTTAGAATTAAGAGTGCTAGGTCTATACAAACTAATGAATTTTATAACCAATGACAATGGTAAAAGAGGTTTTCATGTGTAAAGGGGGTCACATACATTATAAACATCATGACCTAGTCTCAAAAAATTGAAGGGGGAAAAAACGTTTATGTATGCCAAACTGGCAAGAACACATAGATCATGAAAATGAATACTACACCAGCTCACCCGCTATAATAATCCCTTGGCAAATAGATGTCCTTTAGGGGACCAAATTGTCCAAATGGCCTCCGAAGGTCTTCAGGACTGCAAACATCAGTATGTAAATAAGAAACAGAACAGCTTATGACAATGTTGGCATAGTAATCATGACATGCAAAGCAAATGATGACATAAAACGAAAACAGTGTCGGACACGCCATTTAAAAGGAAGAGCAATTTTAAAAAACTGATCAAATAAGAAGACAATAATCTAATATTTGGATGCAAAAAATCAATAAACAAAAAGGATAATTAATATGTCACAAGAATCGTAGCATGTCACCAATATACCAAAACAGTTAGCAACTAGCAAAATTTTAGAAGAAACTTTGATTAAAAAGTTAAAACAAAATTTTAAAGGTAAATTTAAACAAAATTTACAGCAAAAAGAAATAGCAACTTCATTAAACATTAACATTAAAAGAAAGCTTATTTTACAAAACTAGGTTGTAAAATAAACTAGCAGCTAAAATTTCACCTAAAAATACGAGTACTGTCATAGATCTTAGAAATATGGTTAAGTACAAACAAAATATAGCAAGAAAAAATGAAAAGGAATGGAAATACATTGAGACAAGAGAGAAAAGAGAGCAAGAAGATAAAGACGACTTGAAAGAGAGAGTCAAAAATTGATGCAAAGCACTGTATGCAAGAATGAGGAAAAGATTCAGAAAAAACCAGTGTAAAAAACCCTAGAAAAATCTGAAACCCAATTTTTGAAGACGCTAACTAGAAAGGACAGGAGGAGGCTAACAATGAGCTGATGATGTGTAGAATAGTGTAAATAGCGAAGATAATGTTGGCAACAGAAAGAGAGGTCCAACAATGTTCACAAAACACACCACCCATGTGCTCTATTGCAGAAGGCACACAATTTTTCCTACACATCACCATGCAAGATGGAATGGCCCCAATCCTCATTTCTGCTATTGCCTTGCTCCATAGCTATGTTGAATAGCAAAACTATCTTAACCAAAACAGAATCTACAGCATAGTCATTAAAAAAAGAACAAAGTATCAAGAAGTTCAAAACCAATGCTTTGCAATAAGCAACAAACCATGCAGTCGCAGTTCATTCCAACACATTATAAAATAGAGCTTCACTACAGCATAGCATTAGCTTATTACTTGGTATGAAAAACAGAATAAGAATCTCTGTTTAGCACTTCAAAATCACTAAAAGACTGCATAAAGCAAAGAATTAGACTACAGTATTAAAATCAGAGTTACCATTAGCATCACGTAATCAATCACTGTAGCTGATATTTACCAGTAACATTATAAATTCCAAAGATAACTGTATCCGTACGTCACAAATCACAACTGATGAGAAACAGGATTCAACAGTGTTTTGCACCTTTATATCAGTGTCAAAATCTTCCATCAAGTGTTTTAAAAATATATCAGATAGCATGCAAGGATAGATAACTAGGGGAAACAAACAACTCAAAATCCTCCAGTTGAAAAAAGGACAAAATATAAACAGTTATTTACTCAGTACAATGTCCTGACGTACCAATTCCTTATAAATAAGAAGCTTGGACATCCATTTGTTCATAGCAAGCAGTACAAACACATGGACCAACATGGATTCCAAAAATAGAAGCCAAAATTTGAAACAAACTAAGTTGCAAACAGAACCCAATATGACATCTAGAAAGTGGATGGAGGTAGTAGGAACAAACCGGCAATCATGACGAAGATTGCGAACTAGAAGACTGGTCGGAAGATCTCTTCCACGGCCGCCGCCACCACCACCACCGCCACCGCCGCCATAGCGACCCCTTGGACTAGGGCTCCTTCCCCTTCTCCCGTGACCACCCCTAGGTGGTGAAGGAGAGTAGCTCCTTCCACCCATTTACTGAGTGCTGTTCAAGAATATAGGAAAACAACAAAAAACTTGTATCAATATGCACATTGAAGAATATTCACCACAACAAATAGAGATCTGAACCAAGTGATGCATAAAAGATTAATTTAAATCTCATGAAGTTCTGGATATAGGAAAAACTAAGTTTCCATGAAGTAATTCACACAATTAGACATTAAGAGATTATCTGCAAAAAAATCCAAGTTTACGCTACCTTCTTCACATTTCCAGCATCTAGAATCTTCAGTTGCAAAACCCAAACTTGAAAGGAGTAATAACCACACAAGTTACTTATTTAGTATATTTTAGTAGCAGACATCCAATCCAAAACCTTAACAACAAACCCGGTAATCAAAACACTGAAAATCTGTGCACTTTAACACCCAATACAAGCCATGTACAATTACACTCTTTCTTCACAATCCCAATCAATGAGGCATAAGCTAAGCCAAAATCAACAGCCAAAAAGAAGGTATGCATAACGAAGGAAGTTATAGAGTTCACTACCAAACCCTAATACCAATAAACTAATGAATATGGGTTTATAGTTAATAGCTATGCGCTTAAACACCCAAACGAAATGCTGCAGCTACCAGTGTAAAAAATCAAAACCGAATATAATATGAATTAACAACCATTGAGAGGAAGAAACAAAACGAGGTTAAATTCAGCGATTACAAGTGCAAAACAAAGTGAGATCCGATGAAAAGCCAACATCATGCTTCGAATAACGTAGGAGACTGATCTGAATAAAAAAGAAAAGATTGAAGATACCTATAAAATTTGCAGAAGGGATCTCGACGATTGGGAACCAGACGGAGAGAAACGACTTAAAGACGGCGAGGTTATGCACATCACAAAATGCCGGCTGGGGTTTTTATCTCCTAGGGCAACATTTTCGACGAGACGAATAGAAAGATATTCCAATAATTACAAAAACAGTCCTTCAACTACTTATAAATCTCTTCTTTTTCACCTTTTACTTCTAATTTTGCAATAACGGTCCCAATTCTAGAGTCGTTTCACTTTTATTTACAAACAAAGCATTGTATTTTTTTCTAATGCAAATTAAATTTCCAAAAATAAGGTTTGTTGAACAAATTACATAGAATTGAAATATATTATTACTTATATTACTATGATTTAAAAATGTTGATTTAAATTAGAGATGTATGCGGGTTGGGTACATTTAAACAAGAGAAAAGTCCAAACAACCCAATGGACTTTATTGTTTGGAACAATTAAGTCATTGGACAATTTTTTTGAAACAAATAAATCATTGGACATTCTAGAATCTATTATATAACTCCTTAGACTTTTTAGAACTTGTTAAATAGATCATTATTCTTGAAAATGTAATATGTAACCTGAATAGAAGGTAAACCTCAAATTTTAAAAAAAAAAAAAACTAATAATATCCTACAAAGTGATGACTCCCTGTCTCCCTCTCATCTCCACACCACCGTCTTCTTGTCGTCTTCACACCACCGTCGCTGCTTAACGCCCCCACGCCACCGTCTCCCTCTCGTTGGTCCCTGCTGCACCACCCCTGTCGTCGCCATATCACCACACCACCCCTGTCGCCACCGCACCCAGCCCTATCTCCGCTTGTCGCCATACACCACCTCCCATCGCTGGTCGCTGTTGTTGCATCGTCCCTATCACGGTCCCGCTGCAGTTTGATCTAATCAGATTTGTTCCAATATTGTTCATCATATGATTACATTTTAATATGCAACTTACGTATCTACAATATCAAAGATGAATCCTGTCGATTATTATAAATTTGTTCARATTGAGGATGAGTTTTATCATGAGCTATGAAYATGTCGATTATTATAAATTTGTCCAATTGCCTTACTACAAAATATGAATCACTCGATCTTCTAGCATAAATCGATCGATGTTAATGCGATTGTTTATCTGTAAAAGAACATTAAAGAAAACTCACTAGTTGGATGGGTGTTTAATTTGCAATAAATAGGAACTACTGTTGTCATTCTCCATTTTCATCAACAATGCTTCCTTTAACCATACAAGAACAGTTACCCCTAAACGTTGAAGATGGACCACTATTCATATTTTAGGAACCCATGATTCATTTTCTATATAGTCAATATGTTTGTATCTTTTTAGGTGACATTAACTTGGACTCTTGTTGAGTTGATAGAGATCTGATATGTGTTTTGGTGTTTTTTATTTTATTACAAGTTTTACCATCTTCCTGTATCGAGATTGAATCTGGTTTATATTTATCTTTTTCTTTTAGTCATTTTTAGAAACTAATTGTTGACTGGTGATGCACAACAAACATTAGGGTTGAGTTGAACTTCTTAAATTTATACTATTAGTTCATAATTATTTGATTTTATTGCAAGATGTTAATTGTGACCAGTTCTACTCTACACGTTCTTTGTGATATATAAAGATAAGATATTTCATCTTTAGGATAAGTGTTTTAATAAACGCCTCCTAAGTGTTTTATATTTTCTTTTCATTTGTGAATTTGTAATGTCATTTTGTGCCATCCTTTCTAGAGTATGATAAGTTTTGTTTTCATTGATGAATCGTGATGAAATCCTTATTCTTGTTTACATAATGATATCTGATTGCGATGGTGATTATAGTGATGATCCAAGCTATGAAATAAACGATAATTCAAGTGAACATATGTCAGATTCATTATCTTTAGACCTTGAAGATGAGAATGATATAATCAACTTAAATTAAATAGTTGATGATCAGTTTCTAAATAAGCTTTGTATTATAAACACGATTGACAATATTGAGTTTAATATGGATGAAGATGATGATAAGTACGACTTTGACATTTACCGACTATTTAGTACTACGCAGCCTTAGCATGCAAACAATTATTTTATAGCAAATAAATTACACCATTATAACATCTCGTCAATACTTTCAAATCAATTACTTCATAGCAAATAAAATAAGATGGCTACTAGTTTGGGACTTGAAAATTAGCAATATTAGAGTTTAATTGATGTATGAACCGATGATTCGTTGAGAGTTATAAATGAGAATATGAGATGACAAGAATTGAAGTTGGGGTCCTAACCTTCTATTTGTTTGGTGGGTTTATAGGGCGGATGAACTTGAATTAATGTAGTAGCGGACCGCTTGGAAATTTAAAAAAATAGGGGTAATCTGCCCTTGGGGATAAATCCATCATTAAACTCGTTTTAATACGTGGTTTTTTACAATGAACTACGTTAATGTTAATCAATTTGTAAGCGTAGTATTAATAAAAAATTACCTGAGTCTATAATTATGTAACAATGGGAACATTAAAGATCTCTCAAGATAACTACATGAACTACCCATACCAATTTCGATTAAACATGTACAAAGAATATTTGAATTGTAATAGTGCTCGTGAATATGTTGATTTAAATGATTGATAAAATAAAAAAAAGTTATTTTATCTCTAATAATATTTTTTATTTTATAAAAAAAATGATTAATCAGAATATTAATCAAATAATGATAATTTGAGAGGAAATTTGGAATACAGAGGCGAGATCAGACAAGGAGGCGAGAGGGTAGGGTTTGAGGTGGTAACGTTAGATGGTCCTACTGCTCCACTTGCTTCTATTCACAGTTCTAGATAAGTATTTTTTATACCTTTTGATCATACAACGTGACTTACATTTTTGCTATCCACACTACGTGCATTACTCCATTTGTCCCATGAAAATCGTAAAGTCTTTTTTTTTTTAACCTGGATATCCAACCCGCTATGCGAGCCGACTAATCTCAGGGCGACCACCTGCTTTTCACATAGCCTGGAGTCACCGCAATTGAACCTCCGTAAAGTTTTCTGGATCAATATAAGTGGCATCAATGGTTTATGGTGTGAAATGGATAGATAAGTTATTTTTAGCTTGAAAAATTATCATAAAAAGTCTCATGGGACAGAAGGAACATTTCTTTCTTTCTGAAACGACATTGTTGATGTTTTAGAGATTAAGATATGATTGTCTAAATGAAAACGGGTTCAAGCTACCTCTTTTAGTCATAACGAATTATTTATGATTGTTGGAGAAGTAAAAGTTGTAGGATATTAGCTATTAATGTCGGGTACCCATAAACCCTCTTTTATGTTTTTGAATTATGATAATTGATAAAATAAAGAATGAAAGAAAACACAAGTTGTCATCACAGTTTTGCCACCTGCATTATTCATTTACATGAGATTTACCAGGTTCATTTGGTTTATGTTCTTGCAGGAAGTCTTGAAAATGGCAAAAAAGTCAATTTTATATGTTGTATTGTATCAAAGTTGTTCCCGAGCACCAAACCTTGTACTTCCGCAAAATTTGTTTTTTGCTAACCATGTAAGTTTGTATCCTGAAGGTGGGATCCGAGAAAGAATCGAAAAGGGCTAGGTGGACTTGATTGATGATTATTTAAAGATAAAAAAATAACCAATATATCCTGAATTAACGAAAAAACCAACGGTTACTGGACGGAGAGACAATATTAACAAACATCAAGAATAAAAACCGATAAAATGAAGTATAGGGACCAGATTCGTTAAAGTAGACAAAAATTAGGGACAAAAATGGAACTATACTCAAAATTAAATTTTGCTGAAAAAACTATGTACCGCTGCCAGGACTTGAACCTGGGACTCCCTTTTTAGGCGGAGCCGAAAGATAGAGATCTTTTTCATTGGGTTGTGCTACAGCGGATCATTTGTGTTTCCTCTCACATTTATTTTAGTTATCCGCTAAAAACATAAAGGAAATAACTCCGTCTTTTGTAATTTCATAAATATCGATACACCATGCAGCATTCAGGGTCGTTTATTTAACACTTTCTAGATGAGTATTAGAATTTTACCTGGTAGAAGGGCCATCCCTGGGGGAGGGAGGGCCGGACGTACGCCCTGGACCCATAAAAATTAGGGACCCAAATTTTTTTAATATATATAATAATAGTTCAAAAAAATTTGTAAATAGAAGAGACATAAAATAATTAGTATCTAATATGACAATAAAATATTTTAGTACTACATTAACTATTAAAGATCCAAACATGTATAAATTAAATATACTGGAGAAAAAAATACATAAAGAGGTTAATATGCCGTTCATTATATAACATTATTTAATGTTTTTCTAAGTTTTTTTTAATCTAAAACCGACGTCTAAAACTACTTCTTTTGTAAACTTTGATATATTTTTCATAATTTATCTCCCATCGACTCTTTTGATTGTTCCATCCTCGCGTAAGTTCTATTTTTATATTAGAATATGTTAGATTTTCTTGTTATTAACAAACAAAACCTCCATCTTTTGAAAAAAAATACAAACCATTGAGACGGTACAACTTATATCTATATTTATAATAATAAAACTATAATTTTTTTCATAGTTGTTTTTTATTATCTAATATTGAGTGTATAAATCTTATGTACTCTTCTATCTCTAAAAAAAGAATACGATATCAAACTATCACCAACATGAGTTTTTTAATTTATATAATTTATGATTCCAGAAAAATTTGTTTTAACTCTAACCCTATGTTCTTGAGTCTTTCTTTTACATAGGAAAGAGAGGAGAGTAATGGATAAAGAAAAATATTATGTTCTCAAGATTTTTTTAGGGAAAGGAAAAAGATTATATCAAATTTTATTATTTATTTCATTATTTTCCTTCCTCTCTCTTCTCTATTAAAAACACAAATATAAAAACTTTATTTTTTGTCATTTCTTTTATTTTTCTTTTCCTTTCTCATGCTTTACAATCCAAAATATTACATTCTA